TTGATAGCCCGATGCAGATATAGTCCGAGGTCGGTAAATCCTATTTGGGTTGTATATTGGTATCGAAGTCTCTCCTAACTGTTCGAACTGGTTCCTTGTCCAGAGCGCCTACGATAAAATGTCATCAAAAGCGGTCTGCGAAATCTATCTTTGGCATGTTCCGCATTTATTTACCCGATATGCTTGAAGTTGCATTTGAAAAGTGAAGAAGATGCAGAGCAGGTGGTGGGCAAGACTATTCTCGACCATGTGATCGAACCAAACATGCTCATAGATGGTAAAAATGGGTCTATGAGGTCGGAAGCGCGAACGGTGAGGGCCCTGACAGCAAAGCAACTTTCAACTTAGGTGGAAGGGGCAAGCTGATAGAGAAAGCATTAGCGAGGAGCAAAGTGCAAGCTGGGTCGATGAGAAGTTGTGGACGTCTCTGGGAGAATGATCGTGCTGCTCAATAAGAGTGTCAGGGTGAGTAGCCGACTAGCGTTCGTGGTTTCACAATCGCTCAGATATATCATCAGATGTTACTCTCTCAATGCGCACCGAAAGCTAGTAGTTGTTCAAGGCCCGGACTGTGCACGAGAGAAGGTAAGGAGCTCTTAAGGGCATGATGACGGTCTAAAGAGACCTTTGACTTAACCATCTAATGTGAAATATATTCCATTCAAATTTGTTTATCGTGCAGCATGTCATGAAAATGGCATGTGGGAGATACGCTTTAGAATAAGGCAACAGCACCGGCGACGACGGCAACACCAGCGGCAAGAGCACCAGGAGCGTCGTTCTTGAAGGCACCACCAGTGGCAGCGGTGGGGCTAGGCAAGGCTTTAGTAGCGCGAGTGGTTGGGGCCAGGGTATTAACACCAGTCATGCCCTTGAGCGTAAACTTGGCCGAATAGGCCGTGTGGGCGGCGTTGGGGGTCCTGAATCGGATAAAGTAGCCTGACCCATTAGGGCCGATAGATGGGTTAACAGTGAAGGTCAAATGACTGGTCGTCGCAACGTTTACAGTGGCAATGGACTGCATCAGGCTCTGCTCAATGAAACATAGTTAGTAACCATAAGTTCCAAGCGAATAAAACAGTATTAGAATGAGAAAGAATGAAAGGAAAGTAGAAGCTGCAGGGTGGGAAGGGTCAAAGCCCGCGGTCGGACGGCGGATTGGGAAACTCTGGTAGTGCCTAGAGAACGGCTGGGAGATCGACAAATAGACTAACCTGGCCGTTACCAGTATCATAATAGAGAGCGACGACCATGTTTTGGAGCGTGGCGAGGCTGGGGCTGGTCCCATCATCCGTCCAGGAGATTGTGCACGATTGGCCACCTGTGCATACGGTACTGGAGACCGGAGCAGTGACCTGTGGTAAAGACGAGTGCAAGAAAGAGTAGTTAATGTCAGAATATGCAGAAGGGGACTTGAAAGGGCACACGTACAAACAAGTTAGCAAGAGCTGGGGAGGCAGTGACGGCAAGAGCAGCCACAATGGTCTTGAAGAGAGAAGGCATGGTGATAGTTGATAAAACCGGGGAGAGAGCGAACGATAGAAGAGTCCAACATGAAGATATGAGCAGCTTTATACACCAGCGAGTAGTGTGGATGCCGAGGTCAATATTGAAGCAAAGTCACAATGGATGCGCGCTAGAAGGAGGTTCACGAGTGTGTCTCAGTTACTCTAGTGACGAGAGATCACGGTGTTAGAGTGCAAGTGTAATATTTGGCTGGTCCCGGGGGACTTTGCCCGTTGGTATCGGTGTTATGTTAGTGGCCGTTGTCGGCAATCGAGATTCAGTTTGTTCATGACTCCTTCGACCCTTGGTCTACCGTACGGTCAGCTGACTTATTTCTCAGAATTTCAAAGTTAATATTAACCTCATATTACGGCTTTTACTTCTCGGTTTCTGGTCCATACGGCCACAGCTCCATTGACGGTGTATTAGCAGCAGTACTCCTACTCTCCAAGAGGAGCGAGTTTATCACTCGTTTCCTATACTATGTAAAGGATGTTATACAATATTTTTTGGCTCAACACCCTCAGCCAGCTGGAAATCCTCAGCTCGCCCGTAATATTTTGACCTTGGTACGTTACAAGCGCTCTATTGGCGCTCGATTGTTTATGCAGACTCTAGTACACATCAAGGGCGGTTCAGTTATCCCATATACAGGCACGCAACCAGTTACAACAAACCATTAGAAGAACCCCGCATGGCATAACTACCCCCGAACCTTATCAATCGGTTCACAGGCTTTTCATTGTTGTTGTTGAACTTCTGATGATGGAAGAAACTCCCGATCGTCAAATGTTTTATTCGCCATCTGGCGCTTGATACTTAGCCCTATATTTGCATAATAATATTAGTTCGAGGTTGGTAAATCATATTTGGTCTGAACACATCTCACCCATCCATTCAAAAAGGTTCTTTACCCCAATTCCAGACAATCACGCAAGCGAATTCCTCTCTCCCAGGGTCCAGGCCGCACTAGACGGGGAAAGGTGCCCTCAAGGGACGTGATGAGAGGTGAACATGATGCCTATGATGATGTACTAGGAGAGACTTCGATACCAATATACAACCCAAATAGGATTTACCGACCTCGGACTATATCTGCATCGGGCTATCAA